ATATTAGCTGCTAGTTTTCTGATTATAGTGAGTATTATTTTTTCTTTACTATTTGTATAAAATTAATTTTTGTCCTGGAGTTTTCTTTTTCCCTCAAGGACTTATATGGGAGTCCTTGCTATGTGCTAGTTACAGTTTTAAGAGTTTAACCTGCATTAATTCATACAGCAGATGAAGAAATTGAAACACACAGAGATTAAGTCATTTTCCTAAAGTCACACAGCTGTTAGAAGGCACAGGTGGTATTAAAATTCTGCACTCTTTTATAATCTTATACATACTACCTCTTTCTCTGTGCAGGTAGGAGGGAAGAGGATTTTTACTCCTACCTAGATTCTTAATCTGCCTTTCCTGCAGTACTTTGCCCTAGGTGAAAGTCTTCTCAAGGAGTAGGTAGTCTTGCTGATTGGATTTTTCATGCATGTTTGATTTCAGAGCTATAATCTATGGAAAGGCCTTTTATAAATGAATGTTTTAGGATATTGGTAACATTTAACTATTTGCTGAATACTCTGTAGCATATGTGGCAAGTATGATTTTTCTGAACTAAAAATTTTCTGCTCTTCTACTTTCAGATGAAGTTTAACTGTTAATCATATGGTAAGCACATGAAATTCAACACATGAGTTTTTAGCGAGAATTATGGGTCATCATTACAGTGTTTTGATTTTTTAAAACATTGCCTTTTGTGATCTTAGATTAATAAACACATGGGATAACTAGAATTGAGTTATACAATTCCTTTAAAATATAAAGACCTTGGTATCTGTTTCACAGTTTAGACTAAATTTTGAAACTTAAGGGTGAGAAGATGAACATTTAGAATAATAGAAATAATAAAATTGATCTTTTTTGCTTTTAAAAAGAAGCCCTTACCATTACAATTATTTTTATTTTGAAATTATTGGGACTTAGTTAAGTAGAAAGTCATTTTCCACAATCATTGTTTTCTTGAGGTGAATACTTAAAAGAGGAAATGATTGGCTTTTTTTTTTTTAACCATAGAACCTTTCTGAGTCCCCATTAACAAAAGAGTTGGAGGTTCAGTAGTAAAACATACTTGACAGTATGACTCTTGGTTATATCCCGAGACTTTCTCTGATTTTTTTTTTTTTTTTCAGAGAAGCTATTATTTTAAATGTGATTCTTAAATTTCTTGAGTGAAAAAAAGGTCGACATGTGCTAGATTTAAGTAACTGGTTGTTTTATTTTGGAAGGATGAGCAAGTAAGTGCTTCTTACTGTCCAGTTTATGGTAGTATTTCTAATTTTGGTGCTCTTTGATATAATTGTAATTAGCTTTTTAGTATAAGAGGATTTCTCTTCCTTTCCCTTCCCTTTCTGTTTCTTTCCTCTTCTGCTTCCCTTGCCCTCACTCTTCTCATTCCTCCTTTCCTCCCCCTTTTTTGCTTGTATTACTGTGTTTTGTATTTATACATTTTGAATACTAAAGATTGTGTTGCCTAATCTTATTTAATGACCACTCTAGTTTATTCCTTTTAAATAAGGCTTAAGGTAATATATACTACATTTGTGTGCTGATTCATTATGTTGTCACATGTTTTTGCTCTTAGTGGAAATAGAGAAAATTCATCTGATTTTTCCTCCACCTCATCTTTCCGTCCACTTTCTCATCTCTTATTCTTTTGTTGACTAGATATCTTTTTTTTTAAATATTTTTTTTAAGATTTATTTTTATTCATTTATGCATAGAAGATCTGGGGTGTAGACCAGAAGTGCCGGGAAGGGGAGATGAAAGGATTCACCAGAGACAGAGTAGGATGCAGAACAGGTAGATTAACTGAAATACACTGCTGAGGGGAGTAGCTTGTGAAACTGGAGAGGTCTGTTGCACCATGTGGGTTGGCTTCCTGGACTGGGGTTCCAACTCCTGCTGCATGGCTGGGTAGCTTCATAGTGCTGAGACTTAACCCTTGCGACACCAGGGAGGCCCTAGATACCTTTATTCTTAAGTTGATAGAAATTTAAACTTGGATGACATACTCTTAAAAATCAGAACAGTTTGCATGGTGTCCTCATGTGGCCTAAGAAAAAGGGGTAGGAGTGTTATAACTCTTATATAGGCTTGGGAAAAAAGGAAGGTCCATGTCATCAACTCCAACTTTAGGACAACCTTTGAGACTATAGAATTCATTACATCTCCCCAGAAGACGAACAAATATTGAGATTTACTGTGGTTACAGAAAGGGACAAAAAAAATTGTAAGAGTACATTGTACTAAGAAGAGAGGATATTACTATTCTGGGGCCTTCCTGGTGGCGCAAGGGATTCTTAGACTAAGAAGCTACCTGCAGTCAAGGAAGTTCCTTCCCCAGCCAGGGAGCTGACCCACATGGCACAGCAGATGTTTCCTGCCTCCCCCGCTACTCCCCCTCAGCAGTGTATTTCAGTAGATCTGCGGGTTCTGCTCCCCACTCTGTCTCTGGTGAATTCTCTTAATGCCTCCTGCACCTCTGGCTTATACCCCAGCTCCTGTATGCATAAATAAATAAAATAAATCTTAAAAAAAAAAAAAAAAAAGAAGAGAGGGCATTTACTAGACTTTGCAGGAATAGAATTGCTTATTAATACTTGGCCTAGCAGGAACACATTTCATCAGTTTATGCCAGGTATTACTCATTAGCTTTTATGTCGTTGGAAATGGACATCTCTAGCCCTTTTGTAAAATATGTTGATACTGCCCTATATACAGGAAACGTAACCCATTAAACCAGTTAAAATAGTTTCTATCGACATTATTATATATACTTTTTTTCCAAATAGGAACATGGAGTGAAATGTTTCACTTGTATAATTTTGTTAGTTTGTGTGTGTAAGACATATTTTATCTTTGTTCCCCCAACTTTCTAATATCTTGCTCTCTGACAGGATGTCATTGGAGTAAACAGCTCTCTGGCTTCCTCATCTCAATAAAAGTGATTCAAATTTCAGGGAACGGAGAATTAGATTTAATATTGTATAATAAAGCCCCAAATAATACTGATTATTTTGCTACCTCCTTTTAGGAGAATGGGGGAAAAGTTACGTAAAAAGGGTTTAATTAAAAAGAAATTTCTGCAATGTGGCCTGTAGTTAATTTCCAATCCTTTCTACAACATTATTCACTGATGGTCATTGGTGATCACACTGAGCCTCAAATATTTCCCTTTTCTTCAGAGGGTTAAAAAATATGTTAATATGGTTTTTCTCCAGGGAAAAAGGTATACTAACTTTAAAAATAGGTTTTAGTAAAAAAATTTGAAATTGAAGTGATTTTCGTTTAGTTAAACAGAAATTAAAACATCTCTTCCTTGGGTTTGTTGAAATTGAATAATACATCTTGAAGAAATATTTTTCAAAAGGGAAGAATTACAGATATTTTTGAGATGTGTCATGTAGTGGGAAGTGAGTTATTTGGTGTTCAGAGATGTTAGAGCTATTAATGAAGTACTAGAAGATTAGTGATTTTAGTATTTCAATTTTAATGAAGAACATAGGTTAAGATTTTTATCTATAATCCTAAGCAATATTTTCAGAGGGGGAAGAGTATGGCTGACAGGTCAGACTCCAGGATATAATCATTTTTCATATTGTAAGAGATAGGGTTGGTTTTCACATTTGGTTTTGCTTAACCTTAATTTTACTCTATAATAGGTGAAATATTTATATCATTGGTTGTGTTTTTTCTGAAGCTTTCAAAAAGCTTATATACAAAAAGCAATGTGGTTTATGAAAAGATTATGAAGCTATAGATTCATTAGACTGTTTTTGTCCCATTTGTATTAACAATAACCTGGGTATTTTTAACAAATTTCTTAACCTCCTGGATCTGTTCTTTTATCTCTATAATCAGGGGATTGGGGTTTATAGTTTGTCAGTGTGGGCCAGATGAAAGATGCTGGAGTTCTCAGATATATTGTTTAAATCACTAAGCTGTATCAATGTGCGACCCATTCAAGTGCTTTTTTGCCTTTGTTTGCAGTAGTAGCTTAGGAACAACCCAAGTATATTGCTGGGAGTTGATGTTAGGACCTGGGAGGGAAGAAAAGTGTATGGTGGCTGAAATTGTACAGGAGACTAGCGTGGGTAGAAGAGGAAGGAGAACGTGGTCCTTGATACTAGGAGAGCATAGGGCCTAATGCCCTGCTTCATTTTGCTTAAAGTTCAGGTAGATGTGAAATGAATCTGTGTTAATATAAGGCAAATGAGAAGAGGTAGACTGGGGAGAGCCTCTGCTAGGCTTAAATAAGGGAAAAGGGGGCTTTTCAGGGGAAAAAGGAAAAATTCTATTAAAAGTTACCTTAATTAGAAGGATGCAACATATTCATATTTTTACTGCTTCCAGTTTAAGTGGAAAACATGAGAAAATTATGTGATAGTTATCTTAGTTTATGAACATGACCAGGGGAAATATAAAGTATTCATATTTCTCACATTTTTTTCACATTTTTGGTCTCACATTTGATGAAAACAGCATAAAGACAAGGGGATAGGGTTGAGAGAATTGTATCCTTTGTTGGTATAGTGGGTTTTAGGAGTGCAACAACTACCTGCTAATCTCTTTATTCATAGGGGTCATTTGACTGTTCAAACTTACTAGATAATGTCACTTTCCCCATTACTCCTTAAGTAATTAAGTAATTAAGGTTTTTTTGTTTGCTTTAAGATCGTTTTCTTTTTTTAAGGTAGTGTTGGTTTACATTATTATTTGTATTTTGGATTGATTAAGGTTTTGAGAGTAGCCAAGATGCACTTACTTTTAGGAGAAATGCAGGGTACTTAAACTTCCTTTCTTTCTCCTAGTTTTCATTTCCAAAATAATAGCAAATTTTTTATTAAAAGTTTAAAAAAAAATTGTCTTTGTGATTAAAATAAGTCTTGAGCTAAAGTGTTTTAACATTTTATGAGGGAAGTATGTTAAGAACGACTAGTCAGGCATAGAGAAATAACTTAGTCTTCTATGATTTTACATGGTTTCAGTTTATTTTCTGGTTTCAATAGAACAAGTTGAAATCATCGCAGAAGGATAAAGTTCGTCAGTTTATGATCTTCACACAATCTAGTGAAAAAACAGCAGTAAGTTGTCTGTCCCAAAATGACTGGAAGTTAGATGTTGCAACAGACAATTTTTTCCAAAATCCTGAACTTTATATACGAGAGAGTGTAAAAGGATCACTGGACAGGAAGAAGTTAGAACAACTATACAATAGATACAAAGGTGAGTGTTTGCTTGTGATTTTAAATATTTTGAACCAGGTTTTCAAAGTTACATAATTCTTGTGAGAAATCAGATAATATACACAACATAAATTGGGTGGATGTATCCTACAGTAGAACTTAGAATTACTTTAAGAGATCTGAGAGAGGGCCTCCCCAGTGGCGCAGCGGTTGAGCGCTGGGTTGCGAAGCTGCCCGCAGCCTCTGCAGCGCAGGTTCGATCCCCGGCTGCTCCCCGGCCACTGGTGGAGGGTCCCACATGGTGCGCAGACCTCTCCTGCCGCCCACTGCTCCCCTCAGCAGTGTACTTCAGTCCTTCTGTCTCCTCTGTTCCCTGCTCTGGCTATGGTGAATTCTCTCACCCTCCCGCGCTTCTGACTGTACCCAGTGCTTGTATAAATAAATAAATCTTTTAAAAAAAAAGAGAGATCTGAGAGAAATTATTTTCCTCTTTTTAACAAAATTTCTTAGTTTCTTGATTCCCCTCATGATCCAGTTTGGGAGTAGGGCAGGGTTTTTCCTCTCATTTTCATAAAACTTAATTGAACTCATTTTAAGAAAACTTGCATAACTTAACCTTTAAAGAGTTATAAGTAATATATATTTTATTTTCTTTAATAATAATTTATTTGTGTAGTCTTTTAATTGTGGTAACTTTATTTTTTTTCTTAAAGGTTTATTTATTTATTTATACAAGCACTGGGTACAGTCAGAAGTGTGGGAGGGTGAGAGAATTCGCCAGAGCTGGAGCGGGGAGCAGAACAGGCAGACTGACGAAACACGCTGCTGAGGGGAGGAGCGGGTGGCAGGAGAGGTCTGCTCGCCATGTGGAACCCTTGCCCTGCGGCCGGGGATCAAACTGGTGTTGCAGAGGCTGCGGGCAGCTTTGCAACCCAGCGCTGCGGCTGCGCCACCGGGGAGGCCCAGTAATATATATTGTAAAGACATTTAAAATTTTCATAATTGATGAGTAAAGAAAAAATTAATAGTTTCTGTGTATTTTTCTTTTTATCCTTCTGAGGGAATCCATATTTAATAACCTCATGTGGAGCCTTCCTTTTATGATCATTTTGATATGCATATACAGCGCTGCTGTGAAAATTTTCCAAAAATGGGATTATTTTATTTGTAACTCTTGTCCAGAAGTCAGAGGACATGCACATTGTTTATTCCTAGAGATGTTAGCAAGTCACATTGTATAGCAGTGTATATGTGCTTTCTCCCTTATTTGTCATTACTTTAAATTTTTGCTGTCTGATAAGTAAACATTAGTAGTTGCATTTTCCCTGTTAATTTGAGCAACAGGTGTTTATATTGTTGAGATTAGAGTTGAATTTCAGAGTTTAAGGTTTTTCAGTAAAAATCCTATATCCCTATGTAGGAATGTCTTACGTCATGAAGGCGTGTAAGTGTGGGATTTTTTTCCACATAATTAAATATGACTTTTAAAAATCAAGTGTCCATCTGTTCATATCCTTCTGGTCATCTTAAGAATACTACTTGGGGGGGGGTGGCATTAAGAATTAGGGAAAATATCTGTTAGAGCATAAAGCATTACTTTTTCTCACTTTTAGGAATTAGTAAAATGAAGTATGGCACTAATTTAATATTGCATTATTTTTAAAGATCCTCAAGATGAAAATAAAATTGGAATAGATGGTATACAGCAATTCTGTGATGACTTGGCACTCGATCCAGCCAGCATTAGTGTGTTAATCATTGCATGGAAGTTCAGAGCAGCAACACAGTGTGAGTTCTCCAAACAGGAGTTCATGGATGGCATGACAGAATTAGGGTGAGTATATAATTGTTATAGGAAATTAGGTACATACATTACTATGAGTATTATTCTGGAACTTAATTATGTTTTGACTTTTTAAATTTAAAATTTAAAATTTTACTGGCCCACAAACATTAATATAAGTAGAAATGGGCTAGTAAGCTAGGTTCTTACCATGGTTATGCAGTTTTCTGAGTTTGTCAAGTTATCTGTATTTAATACAACCTGTTCCATTTGCATTATACTTTTATCATTTGTTTCTAAGGGAGGTTCACTAGTATTAAAATAGATTTCTATGCTTTAATAATTAATATGGATTAGTGTAATGAACAAGTATTAATATCCTATTGTGAGTCTTTGAACCCTAATTTATAAACAAACTCCTAGAATTTAAAATTTTGAAAGTTACTGAACACTTTTTGTTCTACTTATACTTTGATAGCTGTTAGCTAAATGTCTTGAGATAAGTAGATTGAAAAGTCATTTATGTTTACCTCTACTTAAATGAGGCTGCAAAAGTATTCAGTCTGTGGATAGATAACAGGCTGCCCATTTGTTTTTAGTGGGTAACTGTTGAATAGTAATAGCTAATATTTATTGAACATTTATTTTATTTCAGGAACTGTGCTAATTAATAAGTAAGTACTTCATCTACCTCTTTACAACTTTGTGAGAGAAGTAGTGTTTAGATCCCCATTTTAGAGATTAGCAAGCTGAGGTATAGAAGAATGATAGAATTGGGTAGTATTACAACTGGGATTTGAACCCAGAGTGTCTGATCCTTGATTTTGAGGGACACTGTACATTAGTCAGGGTCCAGACTTTTGTTATTGTATAACAAAACTTGAAGGTATAACAGGTGGCAGTTCCAAGAAGCTTACACTACCCCTGGGACTGAGGGACGTGAACAAGGAAGGAACTTAGAAACTTAGTAGATCCCCAAAAGGCTGACATTCAGGGCCCAAAGGAGAGGTTAGGACTGCTGCAGGAACATGATGCCTGCCTTGCCTGCTGTTCTGGTGGAGGAGAGACTGGCTAGAGGCCTCTTGTGGAGCCTTGCACATTGCCACCTGTTGGTGAATGCTGCTGGGACCTCCCAGCACATTGAACCATTACCCTCTACAGTAAAATAAACTCAGATAAGAAAAGTTCTTATTCCCTTTTACAGCCTTTTATCGCCCTCTGTTGGTAGAACCTATCAGTAAACCAGCTGGCCAGAAAAGAAGTTTCACAATTTGTACTCCACTAGAGAGTCACAAAGTAGGGCAAAGAAGGACGGGTGTAAAACTGACAAGCAATAAATTAATAAATGGCCTTCATACTATGTTATACAACCAAAGTTAGCCCTATCCTGAACTTGCTAGCGCAGTTTCAGTAGAACTGTGCCTTTTAATTTGAAACTGAATTCATGTAAAATGTAATGAACGTCTAGATCAAAATTTTAATTTACAGACTATTGATCTGTAAGGGTTTATAAAAAAAATTGAAGGAAAATAACAGTTAAAAATGATATGGGAAAAAGTGGAATAATTGGTTTATGGAAGCTTTAAGAAATAGAATATTTCTCTCTTAAGGTATATTATTATGGAAAGCAGGACTTGGTATTTAACACTCTTTCAGTTCTTTGGAAGTTGAATGCACATCAGATACAGAAAAGGCTTAATACTGATTTGAGATCGGTTCAGTTGGAGATGGTAGGGAATCCAGGCGATGTATTTGTTACTATATTTTATATAAAAGAAGTTCAGATTTTCAAGAGGAATGCTCCCTCATCCAAGTAAAAGACTGCTTTCATTTATTTTGGTGGAAGTTGACATGTGATTTGTTACCATGTAAGAAGTATCTGCTGCTTAAACTAGTGATTGTTACGCTGATTACTATACATTCTCCTCTAATACTGCAATTGACTTCTATAATTCCAGTGTATTGATAGTCCAGTGGATTATATAGTTAAAAATAATAGCCCATTTCTCTTAAAAATAGTAATTATTTCTAATATTGATCACTCTAGACCTTCTATTCCTCCAGCTAATCCCATTTTGTTTCTGTAATATAAAAAGATGAAAATTCAACTAATTTTTAAAAAAGAAGTTCTATGAAATAAATATAAGCTATCATAGGAATAAGTTAAGTCCTTAATTTATAGTGAAAAGGTTTATCTTTTATAAACTTAATTTTACAATGTAGATGTGACAGCATAGAAAAACTAAAGGCCCAGATACCCAAGATGGAACAAGAATTGAAAGAACCAGGACGATTTAAGGATTTTTACCAGTTTACTTTTAATTTTGCAAAGAATCCAGGACAAAAAGGATTAGGTAAGAATTTTTAAAAATTATATTTGGTGTTTCAAATATATTCAAATACATTGACAGTGTCATTTTTGTTTGGTAATGGAAAATTATGTTCTGAGCCTAAAGTCATCATGAAAATACCAATTACTGAAAAACAATGAGAGGCAATGAACTTGTAGTTACTGAGAAAATAACATGCATATTCAGTAATAAGGTACCTGAATACCATATGTGAACCACTGATTATTTTTCATTTTTGGGAGTGCAATATAGAAAGTAACTAGTTAAAATTCCATTGATACGTATGTACACTTATTTATTTAGCCAGATAAATCTGTTTTTTGCTTATTGGAAGCTATAAAGAAAGACTAAAGAAGAATGACTATTATAATCTTATTCAGAAATAACCACTGTTAACAGTATAAATCCATTAACTAATGCTGCATTTAATATCCATGCATTAACTTTGGGGAGCTAGGAAATATGGAAGTAAAAGCTACAGTGTAATTCACAGTTCACTCAGAAAGATGGACAGCAAATAATATAAGTGAACTTGTATGTGGAGGGTTTTAGATAAAAGAAGAAATGAGTAAAAACAGTAATGTTGGAAAATGTTTCTTGGCAAGATGGGATGTGAACTAAAAGATTTGATGTTTGACTGTATAAGAGAAAGTAAAAGGTGTCCAATGAGAGGATAGTCATGAATGAAAGTTCCAGATTTTAGAAATAAGTTTGGCTTCTTTGTGGGAGAAAATTTTGATTTGATTTACTGCAGATGCTTGTTTGGAGATTAAATTGGTAAGACACAAGAAAGCTTAATAATCACAGTCTTCTTGGTTTAACAATACAGGAAAGCTTAAATTGGAATTTGTGGCTAATGGGGATGTCATGAGGAATTTGATGAAGGCAGTAACTTCCAGTTAATGTGAACTTTCAGGTGCCTGTCAATGTGCTAAGTACTTACATACACTGCCTCATTTAGTGTTTAACAACTTGGAGTTTTTCATGCAGTAATTCACCTCCAGCCATGTGTCAGATACATAGTAATATAGTACTGGCCATTTTATATCCTTATTTTGCAGGTGAGGCAACCAAGGCACAGAAAAGTTAAAAAAATTACCCAATGATAAAAGGACCTCCTATACTAATCCTTTGTATTTCAGATTGGAGGGGAAAAAAGCATTGAGAAAAGGATTATATGAATAGGGATTAAGTAGAGGAAGTGATTGAAAGCTGGAGAGGAAGGACTGAATGTACATTTGTATTGGAAAATTGGCCTAAAGAGTGACTAAACATGACTGAATTTACAAAGCATGTGTAAGGCAGAATTCTAAATAATGAATCTCTTTTTCAATTTAGATTCTTCAAGTTAGATTAGATTTTATTCTTACAGTGAAATTCCTTATTTTGTAGGCCAAATTAAACTGGGCTCATTGCTGTATGTTCTCTATCTATGGCCATCATCTAATTGGGCTATTTTTTTCTAGTTTCCTCTTCCCACAAATAAAAAGTGATTAAAGTCTTTGAATTTACATGTATGTACTAAAATGATTACTTTTGTTGTGTTTGTTTAGAAATGTAGCACAATATTTTCATAAGATTACACAAAAATGTTGTGATCATCAAATGTGGTTTTAAAGGTACCGAACCTGCTTTTTAGTTATATGTGTACCCCTTACTGGAGCACAAAGTGAACAACATTTTTGGGTAAATATGTAGCTTTGATGTTGAATATAAGTTTTTCAATATGTGGTGAAGATAATGCAAAATTAAATTTTTGTTGACATTTGATGTATTAACATGGTAAATTGGAATTTTAGATTACAGAAAAAGCAGAAAAAGATAATGCAGAAGAATTAGTTTAAAAACTGTTTGTTCTATTATCTCGTTAATACTGGACTTAGGAAAAATGTAATATTGCTTAATGGATGTAGTTTGTTTTGTAAGATGAAGAGTTCTGGAAATTGGTTGCACAACAGTGTGAGTGTACCTAACTACTGAACTGTACACTTAAAAAGAATTAAGATGGTAAATTCTGTGTATTTAACCATAATTTAGTAAGTTAAAAAAGCATAGGATATACCACATGTAGCTTAAAATGTGGACTTTAGTTGGTAGTAATTTATCTATATTGGCTTATCAGTTTTAATAAATACATCACACTAAAAGCACAATTGTAAAAATAGTGCAAATTGTGGGTAGGAGGAAGGTACATAGAAACTTCCTGTACTTTTCTGCTCAATTTTTCTATAAACCTAAAGCTAAAGTCTTAATTGAAAGAAAGAAAAATGTAGTAAGAGGTAAATCATGGTTTTTCTTTTTGTTTTGCATTGGTGTTGGGTACCAGAAAATATAATGGCTTGATTAGTTGAAAGTTAAAAAGAAAACAGTTTTCTTGTTGACCCTCCTAAGGATTCACAGGGCTCTTAAATTACAATATTTGGCAGAAAGGAGTTAGAACCTCATAGGGGAAGGGGATAAGACTCAAATTGGGAAAGAGTGACAGTGACAGCACTGTGGTTTATTTATAAATAGTTGTTCTAGTTATAATGAGACCTAGTGTTTCCCACATTTCCTCATTCTTTATAACCTTAATTTCTTGTGAGATCTGGATGGAGTGCTTCCTTTATCATCATCTATTTCAATCTCCTCCTGTTTCTGATAGTTTCCTGAATATTAAATTTGAGAGGGATTTCATAAATTCTCTGTTAAATATAGCCAATCCAGAGTAGCATTTATACCTGATGCTTATGTAGCTTCTGCTTTCGAACATCTAGGGACTGGACACAAGTTGTTTTAGGAAGTGTTCTATTGTAATTACAGAATACTCTTACTTATTAGCCTATTTCAATCACAGAATAGCTTACTTGTTCTTGAATTTCTTCCTCAGTAAGCTAACATCTTTGTCTTTATAACTGATACTGTTGCTCTTTGTCTTCTGTCTAGCACATAGGAAATCTAACCATTTAAAATTACTGTCACTTTATTTCTTCCTTATTTCCCAGTCAGCATTTCAGTTATTTTAATGATTCTTTATTAGAAGAGACCTTTGTTACTCTTCTTACTATCTCCCCAGACACATTAGCAGTTTTTCAATTACTGTCAAAATAGAGCTCTTACAGCTGAACATAATACTCCAGAAGGAGACTGTTTAAAGTAGAACACCATGGGTCTGTTTATTCTGTTAATTTGGTCAAATTAATTTGTTCTCTAGCAACCCTGAATTTTTATTAGATTGACATCTGTAGGTTATTATCATGTGACCTGTGATTCAGTTAGAAACTCATACCTGTGTATTCAGTTTAAAAGATTTTACCATTCGGGCCTCCCCTGGTGGTGCAGCGGTTGAGCCCTGGGCTGCGAAGCTGCCCACAGCCTCTGCAGCGCCGGTTCGATCCCTGGCCGCTAGCGAGGGTCCCACATGGCGCGACAGACCTCTCCTGCTGCGCCCACTGCTCCCCTCAGTAGTGTATTTCGTCAGTCTGCCTGTTCCCCACTCTGGCTCTGGTGAATTCTCTCACCCTCCTGCACTTCTGACTGTACCCAGTGCTTGTATACATAAATAAATAAATCCTTAAAAAAATTAAAAAAAAAGATTTTACCATTATTTAAATGTTAAATGTTTATTTAACATTTAAGAAATAATTTTATAGTGGTTTTTTTTTTTTAAATTTATGCATACAAGAAGAGGTGGGATGTAGGTCATAGGTGCAGGGGGGTGAGAGTGATACTGAATTTGCAGGTTTTCAGGCCTGGTCTCCGAGCCAGGAATGGACCCCAGGCTGCAGGGGCAGCTCTGAGTCCCGGCCACTAGACCACCATGGGTTGGCGTCTCACGAAGTTGCAGCAGGAACTTTGCTGACACTCAACAAGCGAGAAGAAGCAGATTTGTTTAGAGAAAGAAAAAGTTTATTGAGGCAAAAAGGAGCAGAAATAAAGTGGGACTCCCAGGCCAGTGGAACCAGGTCAGGGAGGGGTTAGGAAGTGGAAGTGGAGCCCTGTCTCAGGGAATATGCACTTTCTTTCCCTAATTATTCTAAAGCTCCACCAGTCTCTTTGTGATTGGGTAGTTCTCGGTGGTCTCACTCACTGCCTAAAAGTCTCTGTGCCCAGGACTGAGTCTCTGTGTCCCAGCCCTTATCTTTTTTCTTTATCATCTTTATCCAGACATGTCCTGTTGCCCCTAGTCCTTTTTTGGAATTTGTTGCCCTTATCTCTGGAGCCTTCCTTAACTCTCCTGAGGTTTTTCCTGAAGAGCTTTCCACTTGCCCTCTGCCTCAAGAGGATTCACCAGAGACAGAGTGGGAAGAATTGGCAGATTGACTAAAATACACTGCTGAGGGGAGCAGCGGGAGAGGCAGGAGAGGTCTACTGTGCCTAGGATTGAACTTGTGCTGCAGTGGCTGTGGATAGCTTCATAGTGCTGAGACTTAATCCCTTGCACCACCAGGGAGACCCTTTATATGTTTTAAAAGAGTATTTTCATCTATTTAATCCCACTTGATTCTCATAACAACTCTTTGAGCTAAGTGAAAAACATTGTCTCCATTATGAAGATGCAAAAACTTAGTGATCAGAGAGGCTAACTTATTAAGGTTACATAACTTGAGTTGGTAGAACTGGGATTCAACCTCAGATCTCCTGATTCCACATTCTGTATTTTTATTATATTGTGCTAATTGTAATATCTCTAAAAATATCAAGACATTGTGAATAGAATTTTTAATCACCTTTCTGTCCTCCCTAGTGAATTGGCAACATCTTGTTTTCCTGAGGGAGAATGGATCCAGTTTCAGTTCATTTCTGTGTTCATACAGCACACAATTGATCATCTTTTATGAAATCCCACATTGTGCATGTTGATTCATTTCAAAGAATGACATTTGCATTTCAATTTTACTATAAAGGTTTAAGGATTCATTCTGCAAGTTTCTCAATTTTAGGAAATGCTATTATTAGGATTTGCTTCTCTCTGTATTTCCCTTCCATTTATTCTGACTGCTGTCATTAATTCCTGTTACTTTATTTAATTTTTTCTCTTTCCACTGCTGCTTCAGCATCTGTAATAATTTTTAAATAATAAAAAATAAATAGCAGTAATAGTAAGCACTTGTGTAATACCAACCAGGTATTGTCCTAAATATTTTGTGCATATTCACTCATTTAATCCTTGTAACAGCCTGTTGAGAGTAGGTATTGTTAGGATTATTTTAAACTGAATCAGAGAGAGGTCAACTCAGTTACCCAATGTCACTTAACTAGTGGTGGAGTTGGGATGTAAGAGGCTACTAAACTGCTAAACCACCTTTCTCTGACTAGGTTGTTCTGTCATCTAGACATAACTAGAGGGCACTTTTTCCTAAAATTGTCATTTTATTCCTGTACAAGTTAATTTTGTGTGTTTTAGCCACCTTTTAATTACAACATCAATCTTTTTGAGTAATTATTTTTTATTTGAAGGTATTTATTAATTTTTTTACTCAGAGCATAGGAGTCATGAGCATCTTAAGTCTGTATGAGTTTGCAAAGTTTTCACAAAGATAACTTTGAGCCTTCAAGGCCAAAAGAAAAAGAATAAGCATCTTTAATGTGAAGAGATTAGGAAGTTCAATTGCTCAGAGGTGAGAAACATAGTACCTTTGAGGAACTGCAAGTTAGTTCGTTTGACTAGAAGTGTAGATTTTGTCCAAAAGCAATAAGAAATTACTCTAGTGTAAATTTTTTTTAATAGCCTAATTTTTTAAAGTTTGTAGCATAGTTAAGCAGAATTTTTCATATATCCTCTACCCCCACACATGTATAATTTCTCCATTATCAAAATCCCCCACTTGAGTGGTACATTTGTTAGTTATACCTACTTGATATCTTATAATCACCTAAAGTCTATAGCTTACATGAGAGTTCACTTTGTTTGGGCAAATAGATAATAACATATATCCGCTATTAAGCATCACACAGAGAAGTTGTTACTACCCTGAAAATCCTGTTTCTTCATTCTTTCCCTCCCTCTTAACCCCTGGCAACCAGTGATCTTTTTATTGTTTCCATACTTTGCCTTTTCTAGAGTCATATAATTGGAATCATACAGTTTATAGCCTTTGCAGATTAGTTTCTTTCTTAGTAATATTAATGTGCATTTGTATGTGCATCCATCCTTTTTCCTGACTTCATAACTTATTTTTTTTTTTAAGATTTATTTATTTATGCATACAAGTACAGGAGTACAGGCCAGAGGTGCAAGGGGTGAGAGGATTCACCAGAGACAGAGGGGAACAGGACATGCAGATTGACTGAAATACACTAGCTTATTTTATTTTAGCACTGAATAATCCACTATCTGGGTATACCACTCTGTGTGTGTGTGTGTGTGTGTGTGTGCGTGTGTGTGTATAAAGCTGCTGTAAACATCATGTTCAGGTTTTTGTGTAGACATAAGTTTTCAGTTCATTTGAGTAAATGCCAAGGAGAATGGTTGCTGGATCTTATGGTAAGAGTATGTTTAGTTTTGTAAGAAACTGCCAAATTGTCTTCCAAGTGGCTGTACCATTTTGCATTTCCACCAGCAATGAATGAGAGTTCCTGTTGCTTCACATCCTCGTCAGCATTTGCTGTTGTCAGTGTTTTGGATTTTGGCCATTTCAAAAGGTGTGTAGTGGTATCTCATTGTTGTTTTTAATCATTGAAGAATTTTAACATGTAAGTGACACTAAATTTACATGCCTGAAATGGCTTTCTGAAAGCAGTGTGGTCCTTAAAATGAGTGGAGGAAGAACTAGAGATTTGAACAGTGATTTGAAGTGGACATGAAGAAGACTCATGTATATGCCCTGCCAATGGGTGGGTGATGGAAAAAAGAGATGATTTAAAAAGGTACTTAGACGCCAAAACGAGAGAGCCTCCATTGGAAATGTTTAATGAGGAAAAATGGAGTTTCCTTAGTGATTCTTAACACTAAGGTGGTTTTGGGAGATATGGAGGTGGGGAGGTGTGTTTTGGTTGCCAAAATGACAGGGTTTTTACTGGCATTAGAATGGTGCTAAATGTCCTGCAGTGCATAGAACGGTTCCTCACAATGAGAAATTGTGTTTCCCTGAGAAACACAGCAGGATGATGACATTCATTGAGAGAGAGAAAGAATACTAGAGTTATAGAGATGAAATAATGAGTTCAGTTTGAGCCTTTTTGAATTTGTTTGTGGATACCCAGAGGAAGATGTCCTTACACAATTAGATATATGAACCTAGAATTTAGAGATAGAGGCTTTAGACTTAGGAGTTGGTAGAGATGGTGTATAATGTGAAAAAGATAAAGGTTTGAAAAAAGTACCTAGGGATGTAGAATAGGTGGTTATTGGTGACATACACTGTTATAGAATACCGATATTTAATGGATGCATGGAGGAAGAGAGGAGTCCGTAAAAGAGAATGAGATAGCTGGAGAGGACTATTAGAGTGCTATTATAAAAGCTGAAAGAAGTGACAATCTCGTCCAGGAGGTGTGTTCAATTCTGTCAAGCCTGGCAGGGGCCAAGTAAATTAAGGGCATATATTTAGAAGTGTCTAATGACCTCCAGAGATTACTTTCAGTGTGGTGAATGGTGAGGGTAGACACTAGTTTATAGAATTAAAGAGTGTGTGGGAGGTGAGGAAATGGAGCAATGAATGTAGATTACAAAAAGTTCTCCTGTACAACCCGAACTTCCAAACGTCATACCTGTATCCTCCCACTCTTGTCAAATTCTTACTTTAATGCATCAGCCAACAGACAGACTTTTATAGGTACCTCATGGTTTACAGTTATTTGAGTATTTCATTGTTTCTTGTCCTTAGTTTGTAAAGAACTAGTTGAAAAGGAAAAAAATGCTCACAATAACAAGTTTAGTTTTCATACATGTATTTGAAGTGAAGAAGGAAATCACTATTCACCCTAATAACAGCAAATCTTATTTTTCATACTAATAATAGCAGTTAGTGAACATAAATTAGTTATGTTTAGTTAGTAAAGAAAAGAATACAATTAAAGAACCTGCAAGGAATACTGGCTAGAGAACCTTAAAGACTGCAAAAATTAAAAAGAGATTGTCATATTTCTAGTTCTCTTAAAACATGGGGATCTGGATTTAATTTTCAGGAACAAATTATATACAACAGTATAAGACTCCATGTGCTATTAATATTGTTAAGGGAAGGAGAAAGAGTGTAGTTGTAAGGGAATCAGAGAGCCAGGAAAGATTTTTTTAAAAATAAGTGGTGACCTGAATGTGTTTCTTTATAGAGGAGTATAAACCAGAACACAGGGAGGGCAAAGTTCAAGATACTGGGTAAAAGGAAAACTAATAAATAAATAAGATTCTTTGAGGCGGTAGAATGGTATTGGGTCCATTATGGTAGTGTTATGGGTTTATTCTTGGATAGGAGGAAAAAAGAGGTAACTTTCCATTGAGTTTAAAGGAAGACATAATGATGATTTCAAAGGTAAGTGAGAACATTTGCATGTGGAAACATTGGGAGTTTTTCACTCTATATATTTAGGGATATGTAGTCCCTTTCCTTGATGAGATTCGGTCCAGTGAAAATGGCTGTTTTTTGTTTTGCTTTTGGGCCTATTATATATTTTTCTTTGAGGTAGGACGTGTACCTTTTTGGAATTGTTCCTAGTCTCATGATTTCTCAGATTATCAAGAGTGGTTTGGAGATTATTTTACTTTCTTAACTACTTTGGTTCCTCGTAAGAGATCATGGTTCTTTCTGTCATATGTGAGAAAGGTAGTTCTTTGTCCTGTCACAAGATTGCTTCTATAATGTTTTCTGCTCCAAAACCAATTAAACAGCCAATTGTATCATCATCTTCGAATGTTTTTTAAAACGATTCTTAATGTATTATTAATTTAAAAATCAATATTCTTAATGGTTTCCTTGAAGTCTGGATTGATCAGTCAACAACTTGGAATGCCATATTGGTTAGGACTGTGGGTAGCAGTCCTTTTTATCACAGCCTGTGAGGTGTGTATGGGTCACTGGGAGCAGTTTTGCCCCTCCCCCCCCCAACTTTGCTACTGTTTTGGTTTGTTGCCTCTAGGGATTTTACGGTGAAACTGTTACCAGCATCTAGTGAGTAGAGACCAAGGATGCTGGGAGCAGTTTTGCCCCTCCCCCCCAACTTTGCTACTGTTTTGGTTTGTTGCCTCTAGGGATTTTAAGGTGAAACTGTTACCAGCACGTAGTGAGTAGAGACCAAGGATGCTGCTGATGCTATAGTGCATAAGATAGCCTTCCACAATAAAAAATTATCTGATGCAGAGCCTCCCTGGTGGCGCAGGGGTTAAGACACAACCTATGAAGCAATCAGCAGCCACTGCAGCACTAGTTCGATCCCTGGCCAAAGAAATACCCACATGGTGCAGCAGACTTTTCCTGACTCACCTGCTGCTCCCCTAGGCAGTGTATTTCAGTTGATCTGCCTGTTCTCCACTTTCTCTGGCGAATCCTCTCACCCCCCACATCTCTGGACTGTATCCCCGTTCTTGTATGATTAAATAAATAACTCTTTAAAAAATTATCTGATGCAAAATGTCGAAAGTGCTGAGTTCGAGAAACACTGGTGTACAATTAACATTTGAATACTTGTGAGCTAGGCAAGCATGCTTCTATACTTACCTAGTTTTAAACTTCAGAAACCCCCTGTGAGGTAAGTGGTATCTCTCTTGGCCTTGAAGGACTGACTATTCGTTAAACAGTCACCTTCCTGCCTTGAGGGGATTGGTGACAGAGGCAGTATACAGTCTTGGACTTAACCTCACTGGGAAATTTTTAACATATAAATATTCAAGACCTTTTAATTTTTAAAAGGCTTTCTTTAGTCTTACCTTTTTTTTTTTTTTTTTTTTTTACAGGGACAAATATTCATGGCATTTGAAATACATAATTTTTTTTTAATATTACAGATCTAGAAATGGCCATTGCCTACTGGAATTTAGTGCTTAATGGAAGATTTAAATTCTTAGACTTATGGAATAAATTTTTGTTGGTAAGTTTATCTGAAATTCTGTGTTCTAAAATTTTGCTTTGTTCAGAGATAAATTAACTTTTAAGTCATGGTTAATTTCAAAACATGTAATGAACATAAAATGAGAAATTTGATTACCAGAAGTTCATCACACAGTTTGTTCTTGATTATATTTAGTAGCATCTGGACTGTTGTTTTAAATGGGTTAGTGATTTGGGTTTTTCTGTTTACTTTTAAAACAATAGGAGCATCATAAACGATCAATACCAAAAGATACTTGGAATCTTCTTTTAGACTTCAGTACAATGATTGCAGATGACATGTCTAATTATGATGAAGAAGGTAATGAAGTTTTGTCTTACCAGATTTTCTTTTCACCTGATTTTTAATCACATACTCAAACTTCTTATATACTTCTGTTTTTCTTGATGTTAGATTTCTGTCTTCTGTGCTCTTCTGAATGTATGAAATTCCTTCATCCTCTTTACCAGTCTGTATTTTTTCTTCACCAACTCAGTATTTGTGTCTTTCACAGAGGCATGAGTCACTTTCATCCATGTTTTAGATTTTCAGTTATTAGGAACTTATCCTCTTAGTGTACATTTTTTTTTCATATTTGTATGCATTTGTATTGTCTGTTTGTCTTGTCTATGAACCTTATAGCAAGCTCTTTAAATATAGTGATTTTGTCTAATGTTAGATTTATTTCAACTGCCTATCATAGTGTTATTGGCTTTGAATAAAGATTCTCTGAATGCTTTTCTGACTTTTCTTCATGTATTTATAAAGATGATGCCACCATCAACTACAGGAATATGTGATTTTTTTTTTTCCATAGTGGCAGTGATTTACATTGATTTCTTCACAGGTAGTTCCCTTTGTGACTTAGTGGGATGAGTTTTTGAGATTATTGAATAGAGGTATTCTTTGAATAATCTCTAGTCGACTTGGCTGCCTTCAAAGTGTCCTGGAACCATTTAACCAGGGATGATATTTTCTTCTTGTTTTCATTGTCATTTATTGTCTTCATTGAAGAGTGGGAAGTATCTAATCCTACATATGACTGATAATTGTGCTTTCTGTTAGACCTTACATAAAACTGAAGAACTTTCTGGGAAGTTGGCATGTGAATGTGTAAAGAAGCATGCATATGTGCAATTTTAAATCTTTAGTAGTTTATTATAAAGTAGGATAGCATTTGATACTTGTTAATTTCCTTTGTAAGGTTGCCTGCCACAGAATGCCTGAACTTGTTTCCTGTCCCACCTATTAAGCTTTTAGCATTTGGCAGTATGCCATCCTGTCATGACCATTTTTAGGATTACTAGGTTTTTGTTTGTTTGTTTTTTAAAGATTATTTTATTTATACAAGAATTAGGGTATAGGCCAGATGCATGGGAGGGTGAGAAGATTCACCAGAGACAGAGCAGGGAATGGAAAAGGCAGAATGACGAAATACACTGCTGAGGGGAGCAGCGGGCGAGACAGGAGAGGTCTGCTCACCACGTGGGTTGCTCCAAGGCTGGCGGGGATTGAATCAGCACTGCAGAGGCTGCGGACAGCTTCACAGCGCTGCGCTCAACTGCCTGCCCCACCAGGGAGGTCCAGGATTACTGGTTTTGACCAGATTACTTCTATGGCCTCACTTCAGTGGTTTTCAGAAAACCATGCTATTATTGATTGATTACCACAGTAGTTTTCTCTGTCATTCAAGGAAAGATGAAGAATTAGGGTAATACAGCAGAAAGAATAGAAAGAATATATTAGGTAGAAACGCTAAAGAGCTAGAATTTTGAAAGTCATGTTTGTGGGCATGTTTATGATGATATACTTTATTATGGGGAAGGGATGTTTAAAAAATGAAGGATTCTATCAAAATGTTAGACTCATTTTTCTTTCTTTCTCTCATTTTTTTTTTTTTTTTCAGGAGCATGGCCTGTTCTTATTGATGACTTTGTGGAATTTGCACGCCCTCAAATTGCTGGGACAAAAAGTACAACAGTGTAGCACTAAAGGAACCTTCTAGTATGTACATAGTCTGTACAATAAATACAACGGAAAATTGCACAGTCAATTTCTGCTGGCTGGACTGAACTGAAGATCAATCCTCAAAATTCAGACTGAGGGTTGAGATAAAACTTTAAGGATACATCTTGGACCATATCATATTTCATCCTTCTAATGGTGGTTTGGGCTTGTCTTCTAGTCTGGGCCGCTCTAAACATTTATAATTCCAACATTGTGGATTTCATCTTATATCTGTGGATCATCCTAGTTTATTCTCCCATAAGTCTTAGAAGCTTTATGGTGATTATTTTGAGGTTTTTCATTCTTGCATAAAGCACAATGCTGTCTTCATCAGAAAACAGTTTGGCATAAGAATTAAACATGAACATCACAAACAATTATAAAAACTTCTAAACTATATGCTTTGGGCTAGTTGCAAAGACTATGCTGATAGCACTTCCAATGAGAGTGATATATTTAAGTGTACTGGATATGGAATGGTGTTTTGGTTTGGGGGGATTTTTTTTTTCTGGCAAATCACATGTATTGTTGATGTGAGTAGAGTATCCAATGAAAAAATGTCAAAATAACCAACGTGAAAAATTTTTAGGAAGACTTGGTGTGCCTACCTGAAAAATTTATGGTGTTTCAGACCCGTGATTTCAAAAGGTTCCACAGAACTAGTCTGCACTTACCTTACTTTGTTCATATATAGTTGTCCTACAGGGAACTTTTATTTAGAAAATAACTGCATAATGTTAGATTCCACTCTTGTCTACATTATGCAGTACATAATTGGATTTCATTATGATTTTGAAATGCTTATATGCCTGTCACATAAGTTAAACTATTTAATTTGTTTTGAATGTTTTAGATTGCTACACAATACAATATTCTAAATTTAGGCATGAGGGTTTATTTTTGTTTTGGTTTTTTTTTTGTTAGCACTCTATGGAACACAAATGAAATTCTCTTAATTTATAAGATGATAGTAGGAATTAAATTTTGAAAATGGTCGTGATGAGCCATGAAGTTCAATTCTTATAGGTACTGCTCTTTCAGACAAGTAGTCCATTTTTGATGACTTATTATTTTGTTGAAATTGCTTTAACTGCTAATCACTGTGGTTGCCAAAATACTTCAGATTTTCAAGCAAGCATGCACTTGATGCAAAATACCAATCTGAGTTCTAGTTTCCTAAGTTATTTAGTCTCTTTACTGTTTTTATTTCACTCAAATTAGCTCAGATTTCACATGAAAGCAGAATTCTATCTTGTACGTATTTTTTTTCATTACAAGACCCAATGAACTGCTTTTATGCTGAAAATGCTCAATTCTCTCTTTTCACTTCCTGATATGAAGACGGATTATTGCTTTTTTTGAACATTTCTGTAAGGCAGGTTAAAAATGTAAAACTTTGAATGCTGGATGACTATGATCTTTAGCAGGAATAGGTTTTGCTTGGTGTATCCAGGCATTCTCCTGATGTCTGTCTATTGGTGAAATTATCAAAGTAATGTACTTCAGAACAGCAGTATATTTTATGTAGATGAGTAAATGATTTTAAGAAAAGACATATTGAAACTTCATTTACATAATTTTGAAACAACTAGAAAGCTTTCCCTATAGATATATTAATATTTCAATTATAACTTTAATTCAAGAATACAATTCTACCAAAAGAAAATGTTGAAAACTTCTTATTCTGGTTACTGGAATTGGTTATTCAAAAGAAAAAAAAGAAAGAAAAAGAGACAAATCCTGCTGTTTTCAGTATTTCCTGATTTCATATTTGTAAATATAAAGAGGAACTTCAATTATGAAAAAGTTAAACAGATATATATATACACACACACATATATATATATGTACTACTTTGTTTCCTGTCTTGAAGATTCTGAGTTATGGTATTGTTTTCAGCTTGATTAATTCGAGTATGCTGTGTTTGAAATGAGATCCCATTAGCTTATTTTCCAATATGAATTTTTTTTTTTTTTATAAAAGTCTGGTATTGGTTCACGGCCTAGTGCCTTGGGTTTTACAGACTTCCTTTTAAATGCAAGACCTTTCAACAAAATAGTGTTTGTCATCAGTTTGGTACTAAACATTTATAATTACTGTGTAATTATAAACAAAAATTACTTTAAGCTTTGAATATAATTATGTAGCATAAAAGTTAAGGTTGTTCACTCTATGATGGCATCTTAGAATTAAACAATACTATTACTAGGGCTGAAAAGAGAAGACTGATTTAATGTGGTGTGATTATTCTGAGGATAAATGTCTGATTACAGGGAATATTTTGTACTAAAATTGCTTCACATATGGCCATGTTTGTGTGTGAGTGTGTGTCTGTGAAAGAGAGTGTGATGGAGTGGGGGAGAAGAAAGGCACACACGTTGACACAGATAAACAACTTGAATTGCTTTAATTCATAAGTGTTTTGGTCCTCATTCTGATAAACTCCCCATGCCGATTCTTTGTTTTAAACCAAACCACAGATAAAATTACTTTTGCCAAATGTCAAAACAGGTACACATTTTAAAATGTAATGCTTTTTAAATAGAAAAGTGTATAAAATTAGAAATGCCCACATATAAAAATACTTGAGATCAAGATTAGTGACTCTCATCTGCATATCTGTAAGTTCAATTGTGTTTCTTACAATCCCTGTCCTATTACCAACAGAGGCAATAAAAGCTTCAGTGAAATTGCCATGACTAAATCTTCTCACATATTATTTCAGTGTAATTTTTTTAAAGACTAAAATAGACCTGAAAACTTTTCCAGGAAGAATAATTATTCATGGAAAGAGTAATGGCAAGTTTTAGGGAGGACATGCCAAGTCTTGTTTACTACATGTAAAATGTTTACAACTATACCAGGCTGCTTTATTTAGTAAATAGTACTGTAGTTGTGTAATACGGCATTGTAAGTATGGGTCCTTCCTTAGACTTTAAAAAGCTTTAATGAGAAAACTAAACTTAGTAAAATAACATAGGAAATCTTTTGTATAATATCCTTACAAGGAATTTCTTATTTAAGCAAGGTATACTATTTTCCCCCCTCATATTTTAAGTGAAGTATTCATCTATTTTTTATTTGATGCTAATCAAGACATTTGAGTAGTTATAGCTAGGTTAATGTGCACTTTGCTTAGATTTTTAAACATGTTACTATTAAGACTGTATTGTAAACCTTCTGTAACTTTTCCATATGAGTGGCAGAAGAAAGGTAAACCTATTGAGAGAATTCTGGAATAAAAAAGAAAAGTGGTGCTGGGGAAATTTATTATAGTTCACAAAGTATGCCTTTGTAAAACTGAGTCAACTTTTAGCAAGAATTAATTTATATAGTTCTAAATGTTAAATTGTATAAATAGAAAATACTTATTTGGCACCTCAGCAGTTTTCTTTAAATGTTACTTTATACTTTTAACGATATGATTTATATTGAATACATAGATGTTTTGGTAAGATTTTATCAGATTTGATAATGTAATGATAAAATGTTTTTAAAATGTGAACTATTTAACATATATCTTATTAACTGAGGACACAATACCTGAATTGTGATTTCTATATAATGTGATAATTAGGGTTCAAATTATGGCTCATCATTTAATTGATTATAAACAAGTATATTTCTGAACTCTTGCCTCCATTTTTACAATCATAGTAATAATTTCTATTTTTATTTCATAGAAATGTGAAGTTGCATCAGGATACTTTTACCTTTGATTTCTGAGGGGAAAGGGCTTATATTTTGATAAATTTGAAAATTCCTAATAGTACAAATTGCATTTTCCTAGTTTATTATTCTCAATATTTTGGTTGAATATTTGCTTGATTTTGTACCTGATTTTTTTTTAAGATTTATTTATTTATGCATACAAGAACTGGGGTACAGGCCAGAGGTGTGGGGGGGTGGCAAGAGGATTCACCAGAGACAGAGTGGGGAGCAGAACAGGCAGATTGACTGAAATACACTGCTGAGGGGAGCAGCGGGCAAGGCAGGAGAGGTCTGCTGCGCCATGTGGGTAGCTCCCTGGCCGGAGATCAAACTTGAGCTGCAGTGGCTACGGATAGCTTCATAGGTTTGCATCTTAACCCCTTGCACCACCAGGGAGGCCCTGTACCTGATTCTTGAGGCAGATAAGTGCTTTTTTTAAGCTCATGATAGAGTTACATAAATGATTTTGCTAGAATATTCTTCACATATTTTCTTTACTGCCGGTTGGGTAATTAGCTTTTCCTGTTGACCAATTCATTTATTTGACAACTTTATATTACAGTGAGTGTTTTGTGGTGGTGACGTTTGACTTCTCTTAGATTTTTAAAAAATCTGCCATAAATAAGAAAATTATGATAAAAGGTACACAGCCTTTAGAGTAAATATAGTCCCTAAAAAGTAATGTTTTTATTGATTGATTTTTAAATACAAATTATTTTGGGCAGTAGTTTTATAATTACCCATTTTTAAAATGAGAATTTTTAAATTGTGGGAAATTTTTTTAAGTATACCCAGGTTTTTCTTATGAGTATTATTAAGGCATTTTTTTGGATTGTTTAATTTTTGTGTTTTTGCTGTGCAGAAAGCAATGTATCTTGTAACCGAGCACTGGCTCAAACTATATCTTGAGAAGCTGCTATGTTAATGAAGTTGGGCCAAGGCAGGCAGGGTACTTTTTCTTCCTGGCACCATCTAAAGCTTTCTACTGCTTATGAATTATGGGCATTTCAAGTGAGCTTTGGTTTGGGAGGAAACGATTGGTTAAATTGTTTTTTAAGGTTGGGTTTAGGGGCAATATTACCTCTCTGGTAGATTTTTCAGTGGAAAGGAAAGAGATGGAGTCAGATGAAAATTAAAGCAGTTATGAGTTACAGTCTTAGAAGGCAATACTACTTGGAAAAGAAGAATCCATCAAGTAAGTTTAAAGCAAAGAACAAGCTTGAATCAAAATAGTGAAAGCAATGCTTGATTTGAAATAATGCAAAACTGAAACTTATCAAAGACAGTATGTGTGAGTTGGCTTAACCAAACAAAAGAAGTTGTTAACCAAATGAGTTGACAAAAGAGGATAACAAAGTTACTCATTTTATATTTAGAATATATGTACCTGTATTTAGATGCACGTTCAATGTAAAAACCTAAATTTTACTTCAGGTTTGAAATTTTCTAAGAAAACAATGGAAAACTTGGGCAATACCAAATGGGATTTCTTGCAGAAAGAGTTCTGTAAGGGCATGAGGTTAGGAGAAAATAAAATAGCTAAAAAAAGCTGTGAACAATGACTGCTTGCACAATTACATGACACATTGCTAAATGAGCAGTATTTGATCAGTAAGGTTTGGAGATTGTGTGTTGCAATTCTTTAAAAATAGCACATGTAGTTTTAAAGCAAACGATATTCTTAATTCTAAGTATATTGAAATTCAATAAATAAGCTGCCAATTAGCTTTCAAATATTCGTTACTGATCTTCAATGTAATGGTAGTTACAAAGTAGCTTTTTCTGAGGTATGATTTACACACCATAAAATTCATCTGTTTTAAGAGTACAGTTTAATGGTTTTAGTAAATTTATAGAGTTGTATAACCATCATCAAAGTATAAAACATTTAACCATATTTATGGGTAACCTGTCTACCCATAGAAGTTCCTTTAGGCTCCTTGGCCATTAATTCCCACTCGTACCTCCAGCTGTAGGTATCCACACTGATGTGTTTCTATTAATTTTCTGTCTAGAAATTCCACATAAATAGAATCATGTAATTTGAAGTCTGTGCCTGACTTTGTTTCACTTGGCATAATGTTTTTGAGGTCCATCCATGTTGTAGCATATACCTGTACTTAGTTGCTTTGGTTGCTAGATAGTAGCCCATTGTATAGATATACTTACATT